CTAAAAAAGGGAGGTTTGAAAGCTGCCTGAAAATTTAATTTATAACTGGGTCCCCGAAAGATCCTTTGGACTTAGCAGCAGCAATGGACTTAAACAGGTTGAGAGTTTTTAATAAATGCAGCTTTGCCAGGCACAAGTTGTCCCTGTAGTTTTTAAAAGAAGAAAGGTGAAGAGTTATTAGTGGTGAGAACCTCCAATCAACACAGAAATCCATTAAATACAGACGCTTTCAACAGGGTAGATCCCTTCGAGTACTTTTCTTAAAGATGGTTATGTTCAAGCTTCTACATTTCTTATGAAGTAATTTAACATTCAGAGAACACTTGTAACTGAGACGTTCAAAATGGAATTTTTAATTTGGGACAAAATAAAAGCCACATAGGATAGTAGATGCAACAACTTCTCTTTTCCTTTATAAAATTTAAGCATGCTTATAAAGCAGATTTGGAAAATAAAAGTAGAAAGAGTAAATAAAAGAATAGTTCTTCAACTTTAATACAACCACCATTATTAGTTCTTGTTTTCCTCTCCATCTAGGCAGTATTTCCTTTAAACATCAGCCTCTGCAAATAATGTTGATTTAAATGCTTAAATGTGTGCCTTAAGACATGCTATTAAGAAAGTTTAATTATCTAATTTAGCCATTGGTAGGAAAAAAATATACCTATTAGCATCTCCTTTATTATATTGCCACATCTGGTGGTTCAAGTTATGACAGAGCTATGAATTAAAGTTGGATATATTGTTCAGTTTCACTACATTGCTAGGAATGTGAGTGACGCCAATGCAGAGGACTTATGAGTGCTCATGGGTAAGCCTAGCCCTCACTGTGCATGACTTCACAGAACAGATCAGACAACATCATCTCAGTGCCATGAGGGAAAGGGCCCCTCAGGCCGTCTCTCTGGGCGACAGCCTGACTGGACAAAAAGAGCACAGTTCTCCATCCTTCTATTTTGTAGGGCCCACTGGAACCTCTGGATGGACTTGCTGCTCCACCTGAACCAGACGAGGCAGAAACAGCCAAGACGTGATCCTGTGTGGCCAGCAACTGGCAGGGAGCCATGGATAAGTCTTCTGCCCTTTCCACACCTTTGTTTCCATGCATGAAATGAGTCCAAGTTTTCTTCTGTCTCTAATATTTTATGAAATGCTCTTTGGAAGTTAACCACAGTGACTCTTAGATGCTATTTTATGATTCCCTAGTTTGGGGCCTGAGATCTTATTTCCCACTCTGTAAATAGTCATTGTATAATCATTCTTTTAATAATAATTCATTTAATAATCCTACATTATGCTGACTCGGCTATAAATTGTCTCTCAAAGGCATATTTACTAACTTGTCCAGACTAATGATAATTCATGCTTATTTTAAGGTGCTGATAAAATAATTGGACAAATTAAAACCTCTCAGTTTTTAATGGGAAACTTTTTTGTAAAACCCTGTGTATATTTCATATAAATGTGTAGAAGAGTTTTTTCAAAGAAAAGGGTAAAAAAATGAAAAAGCAACTGATTTAATGTGCATTCAACATAATGTGCCATTTACAAAGGTAAAAAATGGAAAATGTGCTCTACAGGAAACAGGTATGGTGTAACACAGAACTACAGAGTTTATAAGATGAAGGGTTAAAAAATAAATAAAAGCTTAGAGGGAAAGGAAATTGAATTCTCATGATGCAAGGATGAAAAGAACTACAAACTATTATTTTCTTTGGAAGGGGAAGAAGCTTTGAAATGAAAAAAGGTTCATAAGGCAGAAATACCTGCCTATGTGACAGAGGATTCAACCAAACATACAAGTGAATTACAGTGCTACTTTTCCTAAATAATTCTAGGTTTAAGAATGGAAATAGGAGGGTAAATTCCAGATTTACCTGGGAATAACAAAGAGGCAGTTGTATTAGGATTATAAAGCCTTTTTAGGGATTAAAATGATCCAATATTTTATTTTCTCTTTACTTAGATGTTATTTTCTTACATAGGGATGAATGGATGATAAATATAATTGATCTTGGCATTCAGTATTAAATATTTCAGAAAATTGGTATTTATGGACATGATCAGTCAATAAGTAAACAGATCTAATATTTCCAGTACATTAGTTTCCATATTGACATAAAACTGTTACAGAGACATTTAAAATATCTCTAAAGTTTTCACTCCTGTATTTCAATTTTGCAATAATTACATTTTGTTTGTAAACCATAGTTAAAATGTTGCTAGGTCATTTATAAACTCAGTAACATTGGGTCTTTCTATTTTAAAAAAAACTGCAATTTTAAACATTAGCACTACATAACGAACTTATATGCAAGGTTCAAGATAAGGAAAAATGTAAGGGCAGTGAATTCACATTTGTCCAGTTTATATAGAACAACAAAACTGGACTGGGGCCATTCTCTGATAAATTCAAGTGGTCATGATGTTCAGTTCAAACCTAAGTCAAACACCTAAATGAGTATCTGTGGTGGGCAGAATAATATTTAGGCCCTGATCCCTGGAAACTATAAAGAGTTTACATTACATGACAAAGGGGGATTAGGATAGCAGATGGAATTAGGTTGGTAATCAACTGACTTTAAAATAGAGAAATGATCCTGGATTGTTGAGGTGGGCACCCTCTGATCACAAGGGGCCTGAAAGAAGGACTTGGTTGGCCATTGCTGGCTTTGCAGATGGAGTGGAAGGTGGTAGATAGAAGAGAAAGGCAAGGACTAAATTCTCTCCTGGAGCCTTCATGAGGAACAACCCTGCAGAAACCTTGGTGTTGGCCCAGTGAAACCCCCTGCTGACTTCTCCCCTCCAGAAGTACAGAATAATACATCTGTGTTCTTTTAAACCACTGCATTGGTGGGGATTTTACAGGAGAACCATCTAGAGAATGGGCAATTCTCTGTGACCCAGCCCGGTTAGTCTAAGTCCCCCAAATACTTCAACCATTTCATTTCACCACATGCCAGACACACCTTAAAGTGAAGTTGTGAGAATGAGAAGCATTCATCACTAACAAATGTATACAAATCCCTACGTCACTGTGAAACTTCATTGGCAAAAAAATAAATTGCTGTTCTCTGTCACCAAGAAAATAAGATTATGTTTTAGAAAAGTATATAAATGTTCTTTATTACGTTCTTTATGCAAACATTGATCATAGATGTAAATACGTTTCCAAAAATATTCCTGACAATATTTCTAAAGTCTTCAAACATGACTTTGATACCCATTTAAGATTATAAATACTCAAAAGAGAACCAAAAAAAGAGGAACTGCCTTGAAATGGTGAGTGACCATTACTAGGAATACGGACCAACAGACCTAGTGTGGATGTGAGCACAGTTGCTTACATTACGAGTTCGAAGTCGCTTTCTAATTCAGTTTATAGGAATTGGTAGAGAGGAAAATATTGACAGTGAAATTGTTTGCAAGAGGGGATATTTGAAATAGCCCCATTAGATGTAAGAAGCTGGCAACATGGGTCCTGGGAGACTTTTGCACCGTTATGTGATAAATTCCAAAGGGAAGCATCAATTCCGCTTAAGAAGAAAAGGAACCAAGAAGGGCCTGCCTGAAATAAGTTAGAGAACACTGTGCTTGTCTGTTGAGTGTGCAGAAATGGTCACAACTGCAGCTACTGAGTTCAGAACTCTTATTTACATATGGGGAAGAGGCTTCTTTATGTTTTTTAATGACAGCTGGATGAGACTATTATGTAACATTCATCACTTGAAATTTTTTTGTTAATTCAACTATAGTAAATTTATTAAAATTTAAATCAAGGCACTCAGTATTAAAAAACAAACCACCAAACAAAACAGAAAAACAAAAAGCGCCCCTTCAAATAAAATGCTGTATGTTCAGTGTTATTTTTTCTTTTTTTTAAGAGCAGCAAATACTATTTAGGGCTATTCAGGCACTCTACACTTCTCTTGTAGAAGCCAACAGAAGGGATGTTATAAGAGTACTTGATTATTTTATTAGTAGGTATGAGCTTCTAAGACAGTAGCATTCCTTATGAAAATGAAAGTGTTCTTTATTTATGCCACATCTCTTTCCTGTGCCCAATTATCTCATATGCTATCCCCATCACCAGAGCACCAGGGGGACCTACTTGCCTAGGGAGATGGAATTCTAACATTATCCAGAAACCAGATCTGTTTGATCATCTCCACATCATCAGCTTAGGGCAGGATAATGGCCCTTTGGAAGGGCCGTTTTGATAGGATGGGGTCCTCTGCCTGCCTAGGTATCAGGGTGCTCAATTCCTACTTCTTCCAAACCAAGATTCCCTTTCTTTTCTGTATCTCTCAGGATCAACTCCACACAAAGCAGGATGGGAGTATTTTTTCACAAGCCAAAATTAGCTTCCCTGGGATGAATCCAAAGTGCACTCTGATCCTTAGAAAAACGTATGAAAAATGTGACTAATTGTGAATAATCTGCAAAGCACTGGTCCAGTTCACACATGTCTCCCTTCTGTCATGTTCTCCACTTGTTTTATTTGCTATGGGCTTGAGTGCCTGAGGATTTTAGGACTCACTGCTAAATGCTAATACTTCTAGGACAGTAATTTGAGAGCTATAACACATATAATTAAGGACACAGAGGTTGTTCTGGAAGTGAGGACCACCAGGGCAGGCAAAGAGAATTTATAAACCCCAAATCCAGGCCTTGAAATATAATTTGGAACCTACCTTATTTCAGAGGTGTAATTTATTAAAAGCCTTATAGTTGCTCACTTGTATGACCTAAATTTAGCATTCCCGAGAAACTAAAATAAAAAAAACCCATTAAACTGCAAGCATATAAGATTATGTATGTGTGATTTCCCAGAGTAAACAACCAAACATAGTAAGCTCCAAAATTAAAGCACATGAGGAGTTAAAATATTATCTTTGAATATTGACATGCTCAGTTATTGGAGAAAAGAAATCTGTTCTGCAAGATTAGAACAGCTTAATACTTTTTTTTTTTTAGTGAATACTAAATGATAAACTTACATCGGAATTAAATCTCAACTGGCAAATGTTGCACGATATGATTTGTTTTCTTCGATGAGGAAGAGGAACCCCGAATGTATGATTTATTACAGCTTTCTGAATCGGGTCCATCTGCAATGAGAAAAAAATAAAACAAACAGAAATAAAGCTTGTCAGTTCCTTTGGAATGTTGCCTGTTTCATTAAAGAGCCAATCCATACAGCTTCAATCTACTGCACACATTATAAAAACCATTTTTATTCTATGAAATGGCATTTCTACTTTCTTGGCTAATAGACAGTAAGCTTGAAGCTCAGTATGATAAGGAAATGATATATGTGCCCATTAGAGTCTGCATACTAACTGCTTTTCTCATTTAGAATCAACAATTGTCTCCATTTGATAATCTTAAAATATAATTAAAGGGTTTATCAAAGCAAGCTATTGGAAATGCCAGCAATCTTATTCAGAAGTATGTCTGTACATGCCCTTAAATGGACTTCAAAATAGACTTGGTTAGATGAGCAGCTCTGAAAGTAAAGTATGAACCATTATGCAACATAAAGATACCTACATTTGGTATCTTTTCTACCTTAAGAATATATTATACAAAATCCTGCTTTCCAAGAAGTCAAACATCAGAGCTATCAATTCATTTGACAATCATTGATTGACTACCTACCACATAATGTTATTTTACGGACTTATTATTTGAGATTCAGAGAATTTGGGCTACATGTCAATTCTCTCTCTCTACCCCATATTCGCAGGAAAAGTGACACCAAAACATGTCAGCAATCCAGCTCTGAAAAATCTTAATGTCTACTCTCCAAGCTCAGTCTGATGGTCTGCATCAGTGGTTCTTAACTGTTAAAATTTTTGACCTGTTTCTTAATAGTTGGGTAACACCCTCTTTGCTTATCTATGTTTATCTGTTAGGGTTGGGGTGAGGTTTAAAAGAGGTAATTCATGAAATTTTTTTAGCACAGTCAGTGCTGGGCACATTAAGGAGTCAATAAATGTTGGCTTTTACATTTTCTGTCTTGCAGGACATTAGAAGATCAAGGTTATATGAACCTCATACTCTTAATAGTCATTGTCAGCACACTATTCATTTCTCATATGGCCAAAAAACATTGCAATATGACTTAAATGTTACATATATAGCCCTGACTTATGATGAATGCCTGCAAACTTTGCAACTCTTTAATTGTCATCACATACAAAGTTCTTATGAGATTCCTCACAATGGGTTGAAATAGCTCGGATATGATTTGACACAGACACAAGAAAGCTAAGAATGTCTGTGAGTTGATGCTCTTTCATCTCCTGTGATACACTGTTGGTTATTTACCCTAAGTAAACATTTATTAAGTGCCTTGTATATGCTAAGCACTAGGCTAAGCGACTTATATATTAAACAGTTACAATGATCAAGAAGAACTCATGGATGTAATTATTTTTATCTTTTACTCTACTTTAAATTTTTTCTTTGATGTTAATCCCTGCCTGGATTCTCAATGAAAGTCTACTATCTCATTATTTTTCTGGTCACTTCCAGGTATTAACAAATTCTAGAGCCCTCTTCCCCCTTGCTAGTGAATTCTACTATACTTCCTTTTTAACCAGTTTTATTTAGGCATAATTTACATAAATAAAATTTACCAATGTTAAGTGTAGAATTTGATGACACTTAACAAATATATATAGTAATACTGTTTATCACATAAAACATTTCCCTTATCTGGAAGAGGTTCCTCCTGACCCCTCTGTGGTGCCTCCCACCCCAGTCTCTGAACCCACTGATTTTTTCCTTTTCTCAAAGTTTGTATAAATAGAATCATGCAGTATGTGGTCTTTTGTGTCTGGTATTTACCTACATTGTTACATGTATCTGTAGCTTATTGCTTTTTCATTACTGAATAGTGTTTCTTTGTGTGGATGTACCAACATGTGTTCATCCATCTGTCAGTTGATGAACATTTGAATTGTTTCCAGTAAATTGTATATTCTTCAAATCTTACTATACAAAGTTCATTCCTCATTTCAGTTTATCATCCTAACCCAAACATTAAAATTTACTTAAAGATTATTCTTTTCCTTAGCTTGGAACTATTATCAGAAAATAGTATGAAAGGAGATGATACAGGATTCTCTCTCTCTCTCTATGCAAGACCCCCACCACAACTAAGCTCCACACCTTCCTCAACCCCGTCTTGCCCCTATGACCTCAGAACCAAAATGGACAAGCACAGAGCTTGAGGAGCCAGCAGCCACACAAATGCATGAATCTGGGCTGCTTCAGTAGCCTTCATTTGGCTTCCTGGGGTCACTCTTACACTGCTTTAAACATGCCATTACAATGCTTCTCTGACAACAACACAGAGATCACTGGAGGATAATTTCTCTTTCAGCCAATAGCTAAAGAAAAATTAAAAGCAGAAAGAGGTCACTGACTTAGAAGTGGTTGTCGCATTATGTTATATTGAACTTGATTGGTGCATAAATGGGGCCCATTTCTATCAGGGGATAAGGTGAATTATGCCTATAACCTATTTAGAAATATTGAACTTCTCTTATAATGATGCTGTGAAATAAAAATGAACTATACTTTTATATTAAAGATTCTTGCTGCAAATGCTAAGTGATGAGTTACTATCATATATTGGTGAGCAGCTTATTATTTTAGTCTTTTAGTAATACTGTGGAAACAGTGGCCACATGCAATCCATATCTGCGTAGGAGGTATTTTGGAACTAGATACTTCATGCAAATGTGGTATATTCTCTACCTTTCATTCTTATGTTTGAATGATGTTCTGGTCACTGTGACTATAAAGTCAAATTTTAAAATGCAAAGTAGTGTATACTTCTTCAGAGACAATTTTACTTTCCAGTATACTTAGGGAAAAAAAAACCTAACTGGATTATGTTTTAAAGATGTATTTTACAAACTACAGTTACATCAACAAAAGTAATTATCTTTTATCATTTTAGGTATCTAGTAAATAAAATAAGTTTAATGCCATTACTAATGAACATAAAGCATATTCACCTTTCTAACAGATGCATCTGTAAATATATGTAAAACCATTTATGACAAGGCATCATGCAAAAGGAAAATCTAAATAGCTGTTAAATATTTATTTCTGTTGTTAAATAGTTAATCAAATGATACCACATGGTATGTAACTAAAAGTTGCATCTACTTTCACTCAGGGAACATGCACCCAGCCACTTTGATAATTTTGTCTAAACATACCATTATTTATGATTACAATCTAACATTTTGCTCAAAAATAAAGTCATATAGGTTGGTTTTTCCCCATATACCAGTAGGTATGGTTGGTCAAAACAGTCACACTTTCTTATTTGTGTGCATATTATAATTAGGAGTTTTTCCACAAAAGCGGTTTCAAGAGATGCCAGTGTTTGCAGGCAAGAAAAGAAAGCAAGTTCTTGGGTCAAATAAGTCGTAGGAAACTTAGGTACTACAGCTCACAGCACACAATAAAATATTAATGTCCCACAATGAAAATATCTCCTTAGAATAATATATGAGATAATTTAACCAACACTTTTGTTTTTTCTTTGTTTTTAAATTTAGCAACCTTGTTCAATGCATACAGTCTAGAAAACAGCAATCTGGGAAAAGTCATTATAAAAATATGAATAAAATGTAAAGTCTTTAGTATAGACACTAACCTAAAAAAATGTAACACAAAGAAATCAGATTCACAAAAGCTTCAACAGAGTTCATTTAACCTATGCAGACCTGGATTTAAAACTGAAAGATGGTACAATCTGCATGTTATTTTAAGACATATTTATTTAAAACAGGTTATTTTGAAAGTGAATGTTTTCAAAATACGTTATCCAACCTCCCCAAACCAATAATGGCGAAGAATTGTGTGCTAACTATTGCTATACCGCCCCAAACTCTAGACCAAAATTCAATTTCAAACTCAGCCTATGGCTTTATTTAAGGCCAAATGAATATGTTTTTCTTCATTTTGGGCTTGAGGATCTTTGCATTTCTATCTCAGGCCTAGCTATTCCCTCACCTCCCCACTGGGCATTCTGCTAAATTGATTTGTAAATAAGTACACAAGTGACAGCCTGGGTACAGCTGCCGCCACTCAGCTCCCCGGCTCTGGGATGTCTGCTGCATTTTCTGAGGATGGCCCTTAACCCTGAGTTTACATTTCCTGTTTGAAGAGACCACCTCTCTTTTTGTTCCTATTATGATCATGGCTTTCAGTTTTGAAATCAAAGAATAAGAACTTAAATGCCAGGAAGTTTATAAGTCCAGAAATATAAAGGTTGTCTCTTCCAGCTGATATTTCTATGCAACAATGGCCAGTGACGATGACTGTGAAGGTTACACTTACGGGCACTTAATGCTTTATTTTTTAATGTTTATAAGCATTATTCCTATCCTAACAACTTACTGAGGAGCTCTTGTTTCCCCACTGCCTAGTTCACACAGCTAGTAAGTGGTAGAGACAGTGAGACCCACAGCCTCCCACTCTGGCCCCCTGCCTCTCTCAGGTACCACAATCAAGCTTTGTGATACCCATTGTCCTGGATAGTTTTGACTGTTAGTTGTAACAGCATAATGTGACGCTCATGGGTTCAGCTTACCAACTATCAATTAGTAAAACTTGAGTTTATGTTATTTATATTCACACATTAGAAAACACTAATTTAAAAAAATTCCTAATAATCCTACCCTACAACAGATTTGTCTATTTGTAAAATTTGCAAGTTTTTCTTTTAACTTTTTAAATGGACCTCTAACTTACATATAGAAAAGTACATATATCTTAAGTGTATCATTAGTTATATTTTTTAAACATGTCCAAACTACCATGTTATCACCATCCAATAAATATATAGAACATTTTCAGCATTCTAGAAGGCTCCTAGTCCTGCTTTTGCCTGCTTAATAGCATCCAGTGGTAACCATCATTATTAAATCTATTACATAGATTATTTTTGCCTGTAATTATACCATAAAAATATAATTATATAGTATATATTCTTGTGTTTCTGGCTTCTTTCAGTTAACATTATGTCTGTATTTTTTTCATTTTTCATTGATATTGTAGTATTCTATAATATGAACATACC